TGGTTTGTCCGATGTATGTGGTGGGGCAGTCGGTGCATGGGATTTCATATACTCCTTGATTTTCTAACTCAATTTTGTCTTTGGGGTTTCTTAGGATGGTGGATATTTTTCGGTTTGTGCAGAATGCTGTCTTGATGTTGTGTTTGTGGAGGATCTTGCTGATTCTGTCTGTGGTGCCTTTTATGTATGGGAGGAGGGCACCACAGACAGAATCAGCAAGATCCTCCACAAACACAACATCAAGACAGCATTCTCCAAGAGGAAAGTAGTAAATAGTAAAAAATTTAATGAGCCGAGCTTTCGTTGGGCCCACCCAACATCATCAGGGCTTTAAAAGTAGTCACTGGGAAAGAGCTTTTATAAGATGTTAACAGCCTGCATCCGGCTTCTGGAACGTGTCACCAGACCCAGCTGTTCGTGTTGTATCCTAGATGCATTACCTACATCAACGCATTATGTTTTTCCATACCTCCTCCGTATTTTACTGTAAGTGTTCTCCTCGTTAACTTCAGGGGTGGAGTGAATTCTGTGTGTGGCACTATGCTCTGGGGGGGTGCAGTTCTTCTTTGATCTCACTGTTAAATTCCTCCGTCCCTTACAAACGTGACTTGGATCATATACATATACATACGTACGTGCGTGCGTGCGTGCGTGTGTCATATATATCTCCTCTTCCAATTCATCATTTAGATATGCAATGGAGATATCATAGTGATATATGACAAAATCACGTGCAGCAACTAAAGCTAATGCTAGCCTTATTGTTTCACTCTTAACTGTTGGTGCAAACAGCTCATCACAATGAACATTTTTTCTTTGTGTGAATCCCTGTGCTACCAGTCTTGCCTTGTATTGCAGTTCATTATTTTGTAACACCTTCTTTTTATATACCCACTTACATCCCACGGCCTGTTTTCCTTCTGGTAATCTCATGGGCGAGAAAACTTGATGCATATTCATAGATTCCATTTCCCTGTCCAGGGCTTCTTCCCATTTTTCTCGTTCTGTTTTCGGTAAGGACATCATTTCTTGGTAATTGCAAGGTTCAAAACACACACTACATACTCTAACCTCACTTGCCTTGTATCTATCAGGAGGTACTCCTTTATTAATTCGTTCCAATCTCCTGGTAACACCTGTTCCTGTGCTTCTGTGTCTTCACTTTTCATGTCAGGTCTCTCCTCCTTTATGTTTACAGTTTCTGATCTGTTACCCATTTTCTCTGATGATGGGTCTTCTGTAGCTTCTCCTCCATGGGATCTATTACTATGTGATGGAATAAACACCTCTGTGTTGGCATGTACCTTATCCCAATTACTATGCTCTGCAAAGCTGGCATAATGTGAAATTACAACTTTCTGAGTTCCATCAGTAAACCTATAGTCCAGTGGTGGCGAACCTATGGCACGAGTGTCAGAGGTGGCACTCAGAGCCCTCTCTGTGGGCACGCGTGCTGTCGCCCCAGCCCTGCCTACCCCCACGGCCCCCTCATCAGCAGCTCCCTGGAGGAGAGTTGCCCCCAGGCGTGGAGCAGCACAGCCAAGCACATGGCAACTGGGCAGCAGGGACAAGACTCCGGCTTCATGCCCCGTCGTGCGCAGATGATGCTGTGGGGCGCGGATGGAGGGTGTGTCCATCATGGCGCTGCAGGGTCACCTGAGCGATCTGCAGCGGGCCGTGGAGGCAGTGGGTGGCCAGGCAGGTGGAGTGGGGTGGGGGCGGGGGCGGGGGCGGGGCAGGGGTGGAGTGGGTGGGGCAGAGTGATGGGGTGGTGGGGTGGGGCGGTTTTTGGGCACTCGATCTCTAAAAGGTTCGCCAACACTGCTATAGTCCCCGTATCCTCGCTCATATCCTATAAACCTCCGTTTTCTGGTCTTCTTCTGTTCTTTCTTTCTAGTGCTGTTAGGATTATGTACCCAGGCATAACTACCAAAAGTTCTTAGGTGGTATAACAAAAAATATGGAGTTTCATTCAAAGGAGAACTCCACAATCTATTTATTAAATAGTTAGCCGTTTTTATGGCTTCTCCCCAGTACCCTCTACTCATGCCTGCATCTGCAAATAGTGAGTCCTTCATTGTCTGTAATACACCATTCCTCCTTTCAGCTACTCCGTTTTCCGCTGGTGTATTTGTTCGTCTGTGTCTAATACCTAGACTCCTAAGCCAACGTTGAAAATTGTCGGACATAAGTTCTGCTCCCATCTGTCTGCAATTGGCATACTTTACCGCCATATCTGCATTCCACAAATGTCACTCATTGTTTAAATTGTTGCAATACCTGTTTTGTGTTTGAGTAAATAACAAAATCCATACCTGGTATAATCATCTACAATTATCAGAGCATACCTCACTCCTCCAACTGATGGTGCCATAGGACCTATTAAGTCAGCATGAACTAACTGTAAAACCTTGTTTCTCTTTCTTAAGTTTTTCTTGCTAACAGGATAAACCCTAGGTTTTGACTCCTTACACACGGCACAATTTAGGTACGCATCACAGTTCTTCACTTTCAGTCCTTCTGCTGTTTCTGGCATTTTCTGTAGCACTCTAAAGCTGGCATGACCTAATCTCCTATGCATTAGATGCACACAATTATCATGTGTGGGTGTGTTTGTCAGAGTACTTGCACAAACATCCTTCTGTTCTCCTAATATGCATAAACCATTCGGTCCAATGCCCCGTGCACAAATCCTCCCATCTTTCTTGATAGTATATTGCCCTCTAGCAAACATTACTTCATATCCCTTGCTATTTAGACATGCAACACTTAGTAAATTATGGTCTATGTCTGGCACATATAACACCTTTTTCAATGTTACCCCCTAGTTCAGTTACATAGATATTTCCTTCCCCTTTAACTGCTGACCGTTGTCCATTAGCCAGGATGACAAAATCCTGGTTAGTCTTAAACCAATAAATGCATGTAAGTTTGCTGCAACATGCTGGTTTGCCCCACTGTCTAGTAGCCACTCGTTGCGTGTGTTTTTCTTCGTTGCTGCCTGGGTAAATAATATCCCATCTTTGGTTGGTTGTGTAGTTTTATCTCCTTGTCTTGGTGTACCTCAGTTTTTCCTTTCTGGACAACGTCTTTGGAGATGTTACGTTGAACCACACGTGCAGCAAGTTTTTACAATGAGAGAGAAAAAGGGTTTGTGTGGGGAAGCAGTTCCTGTCTGCATATTTGTCTTTTTTAAAGAACAGGAATTGGGTAAAATTTCCCGACTGGGAGAATAATTAATCAGTGGGGTGATTGTCTCCAGAAGTTGTGGGTGAGTCATTTTTGGAGGTTTTTAAAGAGGAAACTGGACAACAATTTGTCTAAAATGAAGATCTTCCTGCTTCAGGGAAGGGGTTGGACTAGAGAGCCTCTAAGGTCCCATCCAACCCTGATAATTCTGTTTTTGTAAGTGTGTCTCATGCTTCAGTGATTTTCCTTTTATTATAGCCTGGATTTATCCTTAATAATGCCTTTGAGGGCATTCTAGTCCAAGGAACAATCCTATGAAGTTTTATTTAACGTCTGTTAAAGTATGTGTCTTCGGGACTCCTTGCTACTGCAAAAGTGGGGATTAGTTGCTGCTTAATGTGTCTGCTCAATTTCTTTTCCTTTTCCTTGGAGTCAAGGGAAACCTTTATGGAGAACCAGTTTGGTTTCGTGGTTACGGCCACACGTTACAGGAATGGAGAACTGTGAGTTCAAATCCTGCTTTTGGCCATGAGGGCTGGCTGAGTGATATGATGATGATGATGATGACGACGACGACAACAACAACAACAACAACAACAACAACAATAATAGTTTATTTATTTATTTATTTATTTATATTTAAACTTCTATGCCGCCCTTCTCCCCAGAGGGACTCAGGGCGGCTCACAGCATGTTAAAAAAAACAACACAAAAAACATTTCCCCTATAAAACCAATTAAAAAGCAAATATATTAATAGCTGTGTCATATTTAAAATCTTTAAAAAATTTTAAAAATTATTCCCTATTTAAAATTCACCCTAGGGAGAGACCTTGGAGGTCATCTAGTCCAACCCCCTGCTCAGACAGGAAACCCTATACCAGAGATAGGCAACCTTGGCTCTTTTATGATTCGTGGACTTCAACTCCCAGAATTCCTGAGCCAGCATGGCTGAGCATGGAAGCCTCTCCCTTTCCCCTCAGCATGGCTGGCTCAGGAATTCTGGGAGTTGAAGTCCACGAGTCGTAATAGAGCCGAGGTTGCCCACCCCTGCCCTATACCATTTCGGACAAATGGCTGTCCAGTCTCTTCTTAAAATCTTCCAGTGTTGGAGCATTCACTGCTTCTGGAGGCAGGTGGTTCCACTGGTTAATTGATTAATTCTGATTAATTCCATTGAGTGATTTTGGGCTGGTCATTTTTCATCTCAGCCCTAAGAGGGAGGCTTCGGCAAGCCACTTCTGTAAATGTTATGGCAATTTTCCTCCTGTTTTATGCTTTGAGGGCTGTTTTTGTTCTCTGAAAGCAAACGTTTAGCATAAACTATGGTATTCTTACGCTGCCAGGTTTGATGGCGCAGGGGAGGGAGAGGCAATCGTTTGGGCCCTAGCGACAAAATGAAATTTAATGTGGAGAGAAGCAAGGTTTTACACCTAGGTGGGAAAACCAAATTAGACAAAACCTGGCTCAAACACAGCCACTGTGAGAGGGACCTGGGGGTCCTGGTGGACGATCCCTTGACCCTGAGCCAGCCGTGTGCAGCAGCAGCAGCCAAAAAAGCTAACACAATCCTGGGTTGTATAAACAGAGGCATAGAATCAAGATCACATGAAGTATTAGTACCGGTTTACAAAGCTTTAGAATTCGAATAATAGAGTTGGAAGGGACTTTGTGGGTCATCTAGTCCAACCTCAGCTTGATTTTCTTTAGTGCAAGAAGGATCACAATGGGCGACTTTGGGCAGATAACCAGGAGACTGGGAGTTCTAGTCTCGCCTTTAGGCATGAAAGACAGCTGAGTGACTTTGGGCCAATCACCAGGAGACGGTGAGTCCTAGTCCCGCCTTTAGGCATGAAAGCCGGCTGGGTGACTTTGGGCCAATCACCAGGAGACGGCGAGTTCTAGTCCCGCCTTAGGCATGAAAGCCGGCTGGGTGACTTTGGTCCAATCACCAGGAGACTGGGAGTTCTAGTCCCGCCTTAGGCATGAAAGCAGCTGGGTGACTTTGGTCCAATCACCAGGAGACGGTGAGTTCTAGTCCCACTTTAGGCATGAAAGCAGCTGGGTGACTTTGGGCCAATCACCAGGAGATGGTGAGTTCTAGTCCCACTTTAGGCATGAAAGCCGGCTGGGTGACTTTGGTCCAATCACCAGGAGACGGTGAGTTCTAGTCCCACTTTAGGCATGAAAGCTGGCTGGGTGACTTTGGGCCAATCACCAGGAGATGGTGAGTTCTAGTCCCGCCTTAGGCATGAAAGCCAGCTGGGTGACTTTGGGCCAATCACCAGGAGACGGTGAGTTCTAGTCCCGCCTTAGGCATGAAAGCTGGCTGGGTGACTTTGGGCCAATCACCAGGAGGCTGTGAGTTCTAATCCCGCCTTAGGCATGAAAGCCTGTTGAGTTACTCCTCTGTCTCTCTTGCAGGGCTGAACTGCCCCCAAAGTCTTCATGGTTTCTTCTCTGAATTGCTCCCGGCTTCTCTCCATGGGGGGGGGGGACTAGAGCTTTGGTGGGGGGCAAAGCAGAACCAGAGATTAAGAAAAGGGACTCCTGTCTCCATACCAACCAAGCCTGGAACAGCCTGAAAAGCCGGTTTCCATCCGTCTCCTATCCCAACCAGCCAGCAACATCGTCTGTCTAGTCTAGCAAAGAGAAGCAGTAGACTGACATGAGAGCCCTCTTCCAAAAACTGGGGGGGCTGCCTCAAAAAAAAAAAGGGGGGGGTTAAGCTATTTTCCAAAGCGCCTGAAGGCAGGACAAGAAGCAACAGATGGAAACTAACCAAGGAGAGAAGCAACCTGGAACTAAGGAGAAACTTCCTGACAGTGAGAAAAATGAACCAGTGGAACCACCTGCCTCCAGAAGTTGTGGCTGCTTTATCGCTGGAGATTTTAAAGAAGAGATTGGACAGTCAAGAGTCTCCTGCTTGAGCAGGGGTTGGACTAGAAGACCTCCAAGGTCCCTTCTGACTGTTATTCTGTTCTCCCTCCCGAAGTCTGGCTACCCCTGGCTGGATCAGGAACGGGACTTGGGCTCAGAACTTTCTCCCCTGCGCCCCTCCGGCGAGTGCCCGGCTCTTCCCCATCCCCCCCCTCGGCCTCGGGAAGGTGGGGGGGGTCTCAAGGTGCGAGGCAGCCCCGGCGACGGCTGGTCTCTGCGGACCCCCCCGGTTCCCCTCCTCCCCTTTGGGTTCTCCCCTGCTTTGTTCCAAAGGGGCTTTTCTGGCCGGACTTTCTTGCTTTTGTTAATGTCGACGGCCCCCGCCCCAGCCTCGACGCCCCCCCCCCGCCACGGATGGGAGCGCAGCAGCCCCCCGGAGCTACCTGTGATGAGAACCGTCTTGCCCCGCAGGCTGACCGCGTTCCGACACCGGGTGGCCGCCGCGGAGTTGTAGTAGAGCAGCGCGTAAAGCCCCATCAAGAGCGCCGCCCCCGCCGCCAGCATCGCCAGCGCCTCCATCGCCCGCCCGGCTCTGCTTCCTTTCCCCGCAGCCCGGGAGCGCTTCGTTTTTACTGGGACGGTCCCCGCCCTCGGCCCTCCTCCCACCTCCCGCCCCTCCCCTCCCCGCGTGGGAAAGCCACCCCCTCGCCCTCCCCTCCTCCCCTGCAGCCAGGTAGGCAGGAGGCATGGGAGGGAGGGAGAGAGGAAGGAAGGAAGGAAATGGGAGGGAGGGAGGAAATGGGAATGAGGGAGGGAGGGAGGAAATGGGAGGAAGGAAAGAAGGAAGGAAGGGAGGGAGGGAGGGAGGAGATGGAGGAAGGGAGGAGATGGGAGGGAGGGAGGGAGGAAGGAAATGGGAGGAAGGAAGGAACGGAGGAGATGGGAGGAAGGGAGGAAGTAAGGAGATGGGAAGGAGGGAGGAAGAAGGAAATGGGAGGAAGTGAGGGAGGAAGGAAATGGGAGGGAGGGAGAAAGGAAGGAAGGAGATGGGAGGGAGGGAGGGAGGGAGGAAGGAGATGGGAGGGAAGAAGGAAAGATGGGAGGGAGAGAGGGAGGAAGGAAGAAAGGAAATGGCAGGGAGGGAGGAAGGAAGGAGATGGGAGGGAGGGAGATGGGAATGACCCACCCACTCTGCCTTCTGCTACCCCCTGTCCCTTGTCTCTGGGCCCAGCTGCTAAGGCCGAGGGGACGGGGGGGGACCAGCACTGGGTCAGGATGAAGGTGGGGACCTCCAGGCAGCCCCTCCCTTGAGAGGGGTGCACCGTATTCAAAGGATGTCCGACCTAGAAGGAGTTTTCTTTCAGCTCCTCCCTTCGCCCAGATTTCTAACCCAGAATGTGGCCCCTTTTTCTGAAGGCAACAATTGGCCCTGCCTCAACACCCCTTTTTCAGACCTTTCGGGGGGGGTCCAGTGAAACAGAGGGGAGGGTCTCCTTGTTATAATCCCCATCGCTCAGACCCTGCATCTGTGGAACCACCTTGAACCATGAGATAGTAATATGTATAGAGTGCCAGACTTAACAATTGTAGATAAGAAAGACAAAAAAAAATCTGGATAGTGGACGTGGCAGTGCCTGGAGACGGCAGAAGAGAAGAGAAGGAACTGGAGAAGATCACAAAATGCACAAAGAGCTGCAAATAGAAAGCAAAGTTAGCACCAAAAGCAATAGGGGCCTCGGGTGCCGTCCCAAAACATCTGGAGCAGCACCTGAACCCCATCGGCATTAACAATTCCACCAAGAGTCCATTGCAAAAGGTGGCTTTGCTGGGAATAACTGACAATCTGCAATAAGAAAGGTCAGAAAAAACATAGTTGGAAGGGACCTTGGAGGTCTTCTAGTCCAACCCCCGGCTCAGGCAGGAAACCCTACACCATTTCAGACAAATGGCTGCCCAATCTCTTCTTAAAAACTTCCAGTGTTGGAGCACCCACAACTTCTGGTGGCAAGCTGTTCCACTGGTTAATTGTTCTAACTGTCAGGAAATTTCTCCTTAATTTCAGGTTGCTTCTCTCCTTGATGAATTTCCATATGTTGCTTCTTGTCCTGCCTTCAGGCGCTTTGGAGAATAACTTGACTGCCTCTTCTTTTTTCACCATTCAATTTCATTTTGTTAGATAGCGCCCAGTGTTCAAGTCTGTCCAGGTCCTCCTGTATCCTAAGCCTGTCTTCTGGAGTGTTGGCTATTCCTGCCAGCTTGGTGTCGTCTGCAAATTTGATGAGTTCCCCATCTATCCCCTCGTCCAAATCGTTGATGAAGGTGTTGAAGAGCACTGGGCCGAGAACAGAGCCCTGGGGCACCCCACTACACACTTCCCTCCATGTAGATGCGGTTCCATTGAGGACCACTCGCTGAGTACGGCCGGTCAGCCATACTGGATCCATCTGGTGGTGATGCTGTCTACCCCACATTTTTCTATCTTGTCAAGTAGTAGGTTGTGATCTACTTTATGAAATGCCTTACTGAAGTCCAAGTAAATTATATCCACAGCATTCCTCTGATCCACTAATTTTGTCACTTGGTCAAAGAATGTAATAAGATTGCAATAAGAATGCAATAAGAATGCAATAAGATTGCAATAAGAATGCAATAAGCAAAATCAAGCTCTTAATAGCCAGTGCCACACAAAGTGCACTAACCAAATAGGTGGTAAGACAATAGGGGAACTCAGGCACCACAAAGGTTATGTAGAAAGTAAGCACAGGGCCGGTCATAAAGGACTCAAATGTCTATACACAAATGCACAGAGTATGAACAGCAAACAGGGCGAACTAGAAATTCAGGTTAATGAGGGCAGATATGATATTGTTGCCATTACGGAAACATGGTGGGATGAAACCCACAAATGGAACACACAGCTAGAGGGATTTAAATTATTTAAAAGAAACAGACCAAATAAAAGAGGAGGTGGAGTTGCTCTCTATATAAGAAATAACTACATCTCCACAGAATTAGAGCACAACAATGATGAAAACTGTCCCGAATGCATATGGGTCAATATAAAAGGGAGGGAAATGACATTGCCATAGGTGTATACTACAGGCCACCCAACCAAACAGAGGAAATAGATGAACTTTTTGCTAGTCAGCTAACTAAGGTATGTAGAAAGCACATCACCATATTAATGGGGGACTTTAATTACCCTGATATCAACTGGGAGACAAACTCTGCACCAAGTGGAAGATCAAAAAGATTCCTGACAAACCTAGCAGACAACTTTGTCTCCCAAAAAGTAGAGAAGGGAAATAGGGGATTAGCCATTTTGGATTTAATTCTCACTAACAGAGATGAAATGATAGAAAGTGTTGAAGCCACAGGAACCTTGGGAGGTAGTGATCATGCAATATTGGAATTCAACATTATGGAAGCACAAGCAATAGAACATAGTCAAAGTAGAGTCTTGGACTTCAAGAGAGCTAATTTCAATAAACTCAGAGAGGGCTTG